ATATATTATATATATAGTAGTAAGTAGTTACGTACTAACTTAAAAAACTAATATATATATATATATATATATATATATATATATTCGTTTATTTGACGATTGTTATATATTATATTAGCTAGAAACCATTGTCCAAAATCCACAAATACTCTGAAACTGGCTTGAATTTGAAGTTTTGAGTTTGGACACCATGGAAAAAACAATTTAATAGAATTTCTTTTCTTTTTGCGAAAAGCTAGCATTTGGTCATAGATTTACATCATAGATTTTGAAAATTTATCTTTAAATATTTATTTGATTAGATTTTAAAATCTTGCTCCTTCAAATATTTTTTAGACTTACACTCACAAAACATTTTTCCAAGTAAAATAAATATTCAAAGACAAATTTAAATTTTAAAATCACAACTTTAAAAACTCAAATTTTTTAATTTTTCATTTTTGAACTTTTAATTTCAGCTTGAAAATATATAGCCACATAAAGTTGCTACACTAGTTAATTAAAAGAGAAGTTCACTACGTACTTCTTTACGCCAATATTTATTGTTTTCTATAAATGGTGAGTACTTCAAACAGAAGAAATTAATGTGTGTTGCCTATTTCTCAATTATACACTAATGATAAAGAATTAATGGGATAGTGGAGGTGTGAACTCAACAAGCACTATAAATGTTTGGAAGATGAGAGAGAGAGAGAAGTGATAAAAAAATAAGAATTTGCAAAATGATACTCCTTCCCTCCGGAATCATTTGTGTTGTGTTTTTCAAAAGTTAATTTAACTAATTTTTAAAATTAAATTAGATCATATTGATTCGATATTTTAGACAAAAAAATAAATATTCTAAAACTATATGAAAAGTACTATAAATTACAATTTTTTGCATGTTAATATGATGAAAAATTACATCTTAAAATGTTGGTCAAAAATTTTATAATTTAACTCTAAAAATAGAAACCATGACAAACAATTTCGGATGGAGGGAGTATTACTTTAACATATAATAATTTCTATGCTAAAAATTGCTTTCTTTTTAGTTGTCCACAAATATGAAGTGTAATTCATTCTTATTGATGATGAAATAAATGAACTCAAGAAAAAAAGTATTTCAGATCATTTTTTTTAGTAAGAATAATAAGTAAAATAAATTGGATGGAATAATAATTAAATAATAATTTTCAAGTGTATGAATTAAGATGATTCCAATCAAATAGTTTTTTGTTTTAAAATATTTGTTATAATTTTCTTTTTAGTAGTTAAACTGTATGGATCTTTATCAGTAGATCTATTTTTCAGCATCTTATAGGAGGAAAAAAATGCAATTTATAGTGTATTTTTGTATACTTTTTAAAATATTTAAATTTTATTTTTAAATATTAAATATATTTAATTTAATTTAATTTTGAAAATTAGTTAAATTTATTCTCAAAAAGCGAAACATGAAAGTTATTTTGAAAATGAGATAGTAATACCTTACAAAAAGATAATAATTTGATTTTCTAAATATTATACGAATTTATGTGTGATTCTTAAGATATTGAATTTGAACTTGTACATGTAGAACTAAAAATTTAATAATTTTGTCGGAATATATACAAGATTTTCGATGACAAATCTATGTGTGTGATTTTCTTCTCTTCCTCTAATTTTGCTTCTCTTTTCTTTTTAAAGAAAGAAAATGGAATTAATCTCAAAATAGCGTTTATAAATTCAAAACAACAGTTAAAAATTAACTTTTTATTATATTCCGTTGGAAAAATAAATTACGTGGTTAAGCATATATATATTAGTTAATTTATCATCATATTAATTAATGATAATTTGCGATCAATATTCAGTGATAATTATGTAGATTGATGTTTCGGATTTGTGTAATTGACATATTTATACAATTCGAAATTCGTATAATATATTTGTATATCTGTGTAAAGTTCAGATATTTGTACTTATATAAATTTGTTATTTCATGTATATACAAAAATAACTTAACTGTATAAATATGTCCTTCAATGATATAGCTCACCCACGAATTATATAACTCCATAAATTATACAAACAATACAATTTAAACTATAACTACAACTCACAAATATATAAACTACAAATATAAAATATAATTAAATTTATTATAATAGTTATTTGTAAAAAATTCCAAAAAAAACTACAGTAAAATTATACTCTCTTTAAGTGGTAAAAAAAAAAATTCATATTCTTATTCCCATAGCACTTGGTACCCTCTTAAATCCTCTAAAATGAAAAAAAAAACTCTTTTCTAATTAAAAAAGATTTATGTGGCTTCTTACCAGAGAAACAAATATGAATTGGCACATTAAATTAATAAGAAAAACAAATTGTTGTTGAAAAAAATAAAGATAGCACCACATAATAACATTTTACTAAATCAATATTCAATAAATTAATAATCTCTCTAAAATAATATTTTTATATGATCTCAACTTTGATCAATGAAAAAACCAGACATTTCGATAAGATAATAAAATATATATATATTTTTGAGACCCCAATATGGATATATGGTCTAGTTAATATTGTAAATTAATATTTTTTGAAAAGTATAAATATATTTAAATAAATTTAGTGAAATATGATTGTATTTTTTTAATTAAAATTTAAGTCTAATTGAAGCTTATCCCTTAATTTTTTTTATCACGTCAAAAAAATCATATGTTGCCACGACTGTAAATCTTTTTGAACACATGTGGAATGATTTACTTTGTACTCATATAATGATTTACGTATTTGATCTGTCATCATTAATTTTGTGACACATTTTAAATAAGAAGTCATTTTTGGATATGATTTCAAGAAATTGCTTATGTTGTTTAAATAGTTAAGGGAAAATACATCAAATCCCCCTAGAACTTGGCAGTAAAACTCACTTTAGTACTTTAACTATATGGACATTTAAATACCCCTTAACATCTTTGAACTATATTAAATACAATCCTGAGAGTAGAATACCACTCTCACCTGCCATATCGTAGCCATGTAAGCACCACGTCAGCACCATATCATTAATTTATATTTTGTTTTGCGTATTCACCTTTTCGTGTTCTTAATCTCATTACACTAATTAATTAATTAAAAATACATTCTAAAATCAAAATTGTCACATCTTCTTCAACCCCTTCTCATCTACCCCCATTCCCCCCCCCCCCCCCTTATTCTTTCTTGATATTCACCATTTTCAACCTTCACTAACTTCTTCTTCTTTTTTTTTTTCGAATTTTCATCTTTCAATGGTTGTTTTCTTCTTTAACATTCATCAGATACTTACTTTTTCTTTTTCGAACCGTCTCTCTCCCACAAATTTTCTCATTGGAGAATAATATTTTTGAAAATTATTTTTTTCTTAATAACTTAAATGAAAAATGATGATTGTGTAAAAAAATTGATAGAGATTCCTTTTTTTTTTTTGCATCACAACTAATAGAATTCAAATGGGTACTTAAAATTAAGAAAGTTTGCATTCAATAATATGAATTGGGTGTTGAATTTTTGTGATTAGTGAAGGACGTGTGAGGTGAATGATGAAGATGAAGGAAAAAATTTAATATGAAAGAAGAAAGGTATAAGGAGTGCTTCAATGGTGAAGAACACATTTTGGGAAGACAACAAAATAAAGAGAGAACAAAAAAAAATTAAATATTTCATAAAAATAATTGAACCCACAAATTTCATTTACTTCTAAAAAGAAATTTCACATTCTTTTAACTTTAACTTGTAAAAGAATTTTAAAAAAATATTAATTAGATATTGGCTAATAAAAAAATGTCATTGATTTTACCTTTCAAATTTTATTTTTTAATTATTTCATGCGCTGTGAGGAGAGTGACTACACTCACTTTGTCACGTCATCTCTTAGGGTGATATTTAATTAGTTCAGAATTGTTAAGGGGGAGGGGGGTATTTAAACGCACGTATAGTTAAAGTATTAAAGTGAGTTTTGTTGTCAAGTTCAGGAGGGATTTGATGTATTTTTCCAATAGTTTATTGTCTCACCATCATACATAAAATGCTTTTATATATATATATATATATATATATATATAACACAACGTACCGGATCCCGAAGGGGTCTCATACAAGTCCTTAGCATAATAATAAACATAGGTAATAGAATTGACGAGGAATTAAAACTTTGTACAATTAAATCTTTTCATTTATAAATCGAAATAGAAGTCTAGACCTTCTCTCATTAGACAATAGTCGCTATTACAATCGAATTGATAGGGTCACTGTCTTTTTTACAATAAAGTCTCAAAATAGAACATACAAAAGGAAACTAGAAAGAATAAATTGTGTCCTCGAACCATAAGGACTCAAGACAAAGAGAGAATCAATCCAAAAAGAATAAATCGTGTCCTTGAACCATAATGACTCAATGCAAGGAGAGAATCAATCCAAACCTTCGGCCAAAGAGAAGCAACCTCAACCACTCGGACCTACACTTTGTGATAAAAGGTAGAAAATAAGCATTAGCATAAACAATGTACCATGTATGGAAGTCATGAATAAAATTCATAAAACATGCAAAGAGGGGCAATTTATTTGAAATTATGCACTTTAACATTTTTAAGAGTCATCACGCACAATAGTGTAAATACAAAAGTCAAACTAATTCATAAGCAACCATAAGTCATACTTGTATAATGCATAGACAAGATTCCATTATCCTATCTAAAGCTAAGTATTACTTTTAGGCCACAATCATCATGCATATCATAACTTATCCTTATCCATAGACAATACTCATAAACAAGGGGACATTCATGTTCATTAACTTGAAACAAGTAAAGTCATTCTTGACAACAATACATATGATACATGCATAATTCATAAATCTTCGTAGCATAAAAGAAACTCACCACAACCACCTTGAAGCCTACATGTGCAATGTATAAATGGAGTATCATACCCCCACTCATATAAGTAGTACCTTTTAAGAAGTCATAATTATCATCATAATTCATATTATTATCATATAAGCAAACTTATACTTAACCGACATAGACCATATGAGCTACATTAAATTTGGTGTCTTGCCCCCACACCAAAAAGAGGTGTCCTACTTACCTAAGGTAGAACTAGCATATTAACTTTTAGGTAGATCCACTAGCTAAAGACCTATGTGGACATAGTTATGGGATAAGGAGATTGTTACTAGATTCCCAGACTTTCTAACGTAAAAGGTTTCCATCTCATGAGATAACTTACTTTGGAAGCTGGACTTTCTAACTTAAAAGCTTCCATCTCATTTTCATACCACTTGGTGCTAAGCATAGTTCCCTTTAAAATTCATATTAATTCTTTACTTAAATTCATGTTCATAAAATAATGCATTGGGCACTCAATTCAACATGATATCATAATAGATCATAGATTCATTAGGTGAGAGTGTCCTTTAAACCCTAGAATCATCAATATGTGAGTAAACCTTTCACCTCATAATCATAGTGTGTTTATGAGAATAGTCTTTCATTCAACACTATAATTCTATCATAGTCATAGACATATCATACATAGTCATGTGTAAGGGTAGGGAAGAATGATCTTACAACAATACCACAATTACACAATAATCATAGGATCTTCACTTTTAAGTGAATCATAAACTCATACACGATTCTCATAAAGAGGTACAAATCCTCATAAATTGCCCTTCAAGGGACATGAATCACAATCAACCTAACCATATACAATTACTACATAATAATAGGGAAATTTCATGATTAAATACCTAATCAACATAAGCATAATCAATTGACGTACTTTTAATATCATTCAACCCACATCATCAATTCATAGTTTAGCAATATGATAAATCATGGGTCCATAGGAATAATTCATCATAATTCAATAATAATCCATCAATCCAATCATAATTCATCATAACCAACAATAATAAACCATAAATAAACAATTGAAAACGTTTCAAGGAGGACCCACTACATAGATTGAAACGCTAGGTTTGGAAGAATCTACAAATTTGAAATTGAGAGTTTTAGGGCTTCATGGAAGAAATCTAACCATGAATCAAGACTATCATACGTTGGTTAGAGATTTCCTCACAAATAGGAGTAGAGAAGATGAGTTCTTGAGACCTAATCTTCATGTTCTTCTTTACTGAAGGATTTCTAGTAAGAGAAATATCGGAGAGGAGATGATTTTGGAAATTATTTTAGTGTTTGAGTATTATGGCTTAGTTTAGAAAATTTTGACTTAGAATCAACTTATATAGTACCCATAGAAACATCCAAAACGACCTCACTTTAATTGGACTTAAATAGGAAAAGACTTAAAATGATCCTCACTTGGTGAACCCGTCCAGGCACCACGAGCCCCTCACGAGTGTGATGTGGACCACGATCCGTGATCCTTCTCCTGAAGGTGAGGTAGTATCTAAGATTTTGGGGCTACAAGCCACCATGCCTAAGTTATCTTCACAAAGGGTTTCACGAGTCCTTATTAAGACCACGAGTTGTGGTTCCTTCCGTGAAGTTGAGACAGTAGCTAAGTTTTTGGTAGCTATTTTTTCCATGGACAAGGAAGATTCACGATCTACATTTACGATCCATGGTGTGGACCACGATCCGTGGTTCTATTCGTAAAGGTGGGCAGTGTGCTCCAAGCTAGGGACAGCCTTGGCCTTCGACTTTAGCTTGGCACTTGCCCCTTGGCCTTGACTGTTATAACACTCTTTCCAACTCTAGATGGTCTAATAATCTATGAAGAGTCATTTTTAATGTTTTTTAACATTTACGTTAGGCTCTAGTTTACCCTATCATTTTCTGGGTGTTACAAAAAGAGAACCTTAGGCCCGATTACGTGGCGCCACCACAAACTAGAATTCTCTTTTAATCTATTTATTTTCAAAACTAGCTTTCTCTTTGATGAAAAGATGTCACTTTTATGAAAAGTTTCGAATTTAATAAAGAATTACTACTTTTATGAAAAGTTTCGAATTTAATAAAGAGTTACTACTTTTATGAAAAGTTGTGACTTTCATGAAAAGTTGTGACTTTTATGGAAAAGTTGTGAATATTATGAGAAAAAGTGACTTTTATGAAAAATTGTTACGTTTATGAAGAGTTGCAACGTTTATGAAAAGTCATGACGTTCTTTTTCTTCTTCTGCACAAAAAAATATTCATGTACTTTGCTCCTATTGAGTGACTGACTGATATTGTTATTTTTGTATCAATATGTTGGTGAATAAAATCGTTCATCCTGAGAGGATCTACTTCTTTAAACCACAAATATTAGAGGGGAATAATTTTTCTTACGGGGACATTGTACATTTAGTATATTCAATTTTTTTTCTTTGTATTTCATTCTATTAATGCATATTCTGATATTTTTTTTTACAATCATTAATTTATTCTAGTGATATTAATTATTATTTTTGGAAACATGTTTTAAACTCTATAGTATATGGTTCTGGAAAGTTATTGTTTCTGATTATATTGAACTTATACACATATAGTAGATATATTCATCGTGTAGAAAATAATTATTGTACGCACTTCCAAGAATTCATGTTTTGATATTCTATATAAAATTCTATAACTTAAAAGTACTATACATAAGCTTATATATTATCTATTTTAACATAGATATGAAGTTTCTCAATTATCAATTGAATAAATTGATTATGCGTGTTCAAAAGTTATAGTTACTTTCATGTGCAAGTGTAATTTATTTTTTAAATCTGTTATTTTTTTTTAAATATTTCTCTGAAATACATATCACAATTGTATAATCGATACAACTTAAACGTGTTAATTTTCCTACGAAGTACCTTTGTGTCTGCGCATATGTGTTTATATATATATATACACACTTACTTTCTTATTTATTTTCCTTTTAATGCGGATTAAAGAATCAATGATTTATTATTATCCTGATTAATTCATTCACTAGAGATTCTTGAGTTATGTGATAATGACACGTAATCAAATTTATGTTGGAATATTGCTAATAATTTTTTTAAGAATCTATTTTCTATTATTTATTTTGTATAGATATTAGTAAAGAGTTATTTACATATTTAATGCAATTATTATTTATGACCGTGCAAAGCTTGAACAAATTACCTAGTTGAATAATAATTAATCATTAAGAAACAATGAACATTATATATAAATTTATATTTGCAATGAATTATACGCATATATTGCACTTTAATGTGTAAGGAATTTGTTTGTTTACGTGAATACAAAAAATATGATACATAATTTAGTAAGATGTAATGATTTTGGTATATTCACCATAATTTATGTATAATATAATTTTTTATTGGAAATTCAATAAATATGCTATACTAAATTAATAAGAGATAATGAATTTGATGTAATTAAAATGAACCTTCTTTAAAACGATCTTTAAATTAATAAATATTTATTTATAATTTATATATTAAATAATAGTTCTATAGAATAATAATATTTTATAATTTGATATATATTAATTCAATGACATTTTCCTATACGTTAAAAAGAAAGCTCCATAACAAGACAAATTTGACCCCAAGCCCTTTTAGTTATTCAGTAAAGAACATTGATTGCCCAATGTGTTTTAGCATAAAATTCTATTGGCTACTAGTCCTTTAAATTCAACCAAATAATTTTAAAGGAGAAAAAAAGGAGGGAGGGTTACTAATCGGATTTCATACTTCTATTATTACTGTGGTTGTAATATTATTTTTTTAAAAAATTACTTGTTCTATTTTTTTAAATTTTTTTTTCATATTATCTATTTAAGATGATAAAAGGATTCATTCAATTGTCATGTATATTAAAAGATAATGCCAATTCAAATAATTAAAAAAAATTATCTTTCCAACTTTGTCCTTAATATTAATTATTCTAAAATATTTAAGAAAAAAGCAATAAATAGTGTGCTTGACCGATATATTCCTTAATATTAATTATTTTAGAATTAGAAGAAACATATAGACAAAAAAAAAAGAATTAATAAGAAATATATTGGTCAAACAGACATATTTATTATTTTTTGTTAAATATTGTGCAAAACAGAATTAAAATGGGAAAACATATTCATATTTTGACTATAATTAATTTGAAATGACAAAATTTAATTATGTTTTTAAAACTAGGTGTGATAAGTAAAAGAAGACAAAAACTTAAAATAATATAAATAATGAGAGTAATAAAGAGTTGAAGAGCAGAGAAAAGAAAAGAGGAAGAGGAAGAGGAAGAGAAAGAGAGAGCATAGGAAATGGCGAAGAGAAAATGATGAACAAGAAGAAGGTCTCTCACTCTCAACTTTCTCCTTTTTCTCTCTAGATCTGTACAAGAAAGAAAATCAACTAGTTCTTTTCACCATTTTCAACATTCATAGAAACAAGGAGCTGCTGGTAAGCATTTTCATGTATTTTTGCAGATTGAGTTTTGTTATGAATTTGTCTAATTGGATAAAGTTTCTGTTTTTCTTTTTGGTTTTATTTCTTTGCTTCTTCCTGAAGAATTTCCTTGTTTCTTGCTGCCCTTTTAAAAAGGAGTTGTTTTGTTTTAAGCATTTGAATGAATAAATTTCTCCTTTTTTTATTTTTTATTTTTTTTTTATAGAAAAATAGAACGTGGCCTATGCAATAGGTCTATTTGGTGAAGAATAATATTTGTTTTTCGTGAGAGTGTGAACCCTTTTAGTAGCAAAAGTCTTCTTCATAATTGATGGGAAATCTATTCTTGTTTATGTTTATAACTCTGTGATTTGTGTTTTTGCCTTGATAATAGATAATAGCATCTATGCTCGAACTTATATAACACTTATGGAATTGCATTTAGAAAAGACTGGCTTTTGTCTCTCTTTTGATTATTCGAGATACCTTATATTTTGATTCTATTTCTTTCAGTGGATCCAAGATGAGAGGATGTGCTATCCATTGTAGTTGTTAGAAACCAGATTTTATCAAACTGTTGCTTTAGCATTTGTTTTAGTATGATCACCACCATGAACATGAATCATTTGACTGTTGAAACGGAAGATACTTTTGCTAGCTTGCTTGAAATAGCGGCCAACAATGACGTTGTGGCGTGTAAAAGATGGATGGAGTATGATCTATCATCCAGTATTCATGAGGTAGGACTCTGGTATGGACACCAAAAGGGCTCAAGGAAAATGGTATTGGAGCATAGAACTCCTTTGATGATTGCTTCTACATATGGCAGTGTTGATGTCCTCAAACTCATTCTGTCAATACCTGAAGTTGATGTCAATCAGTCATCTGGTCAAGATAAGAGCACTGCTCTTCACTGTGCTGCATCTGGTGGATCTCTGAATGCTGTTGAAGCTGTCAAATTGCTTTTAAAAGCTGGTGCTGACCCAAACTCTGAAGACGCCGATGGCAATCGTCCTCAGGATGTCATTGTTGTATTTCCAAAGTTTCAGTCAACGAAATCATCCCTGGAGACCCTTCTTAGAAGTGATGCAATGGGGAAGTGCAGCCTGAGGGTGTCAGCAGCCACTTCGAACTCAAGTTCTCCACCACTTTTGCCTTGGCTTGATGGATCACCTTCTTCTGCTTCAGACTCAATCTCTTCTCCTAGGAGTGCAAAGTCCAACGATACCCCGGTGTCTTGTACATCTGAGAGGAAAGAATACCCCATTGACCCCTCTTTGCCTGACATAAAAAATGGCATATACTCTACAGATGAATTCAGAATGTTCTCGTTTAAGATCAGGCCTTGCTCTCGTGCATACTCTCATGATTGGACTGAATGTCCATTTGTCCATCCTGGTGAAAATGCTCGAAGAAGGGATCCGAGGAAATATCACTACAGCTGTGTGCCTTGCCCCGAGTTCCGTAAGCTAGTTTGTCAACGAGGGGACATGTGTGAATATGCTCATGGAGTGTTTGAGTCTTGGCTGCATCCTGCTCAATATCGAACCCGACTTTGCAAAGATGGTACAAATTGCAATAGAAGAGTTTGCTTCTTTGCCCACACACAGGAGGAACTCAGACCCCTGTATGTCTCTACTGGTTCTGCTGTTCCTTCACCTCGCTCAAATAACTCTGCTGTGAATTCCATGGATTTTGCAGCAACCATGGGCCTAATTCCAGGTTCTCCTTCATCAGTCCGTGTCATGTCCCCAGCACCTTACACTCCTCCAATATCTCCCTCTGCTAATGGAATTTCAAACATGGGTTGGCCACAACCAAGTGTTCCA